AGGCGAGTCTGGGTCGCAGGCTTCAGCTTCAGCTCACTGTGCATCATGGCGATCAGCAAGGCGAAGTTGATGGGCAAGGGGCAGGTTCTCTCTGTTGTTCAGATTGGACTGGGTCATGGAGCTCCTCCCAGGCTGCGGATGGAGCCGCCGCCGTCGGTGGCGCGAGATCTGGGCTACGGGCCGACCATCCGCAACCAGCAGCCGCAGAAAGAGCAGATCGTGGAGCAGGCTCTGGACCATGGACCGATCGCGGTCAAGCAGCAGGCGCTCAAGTTCAAGCCCTCGGCGTACCAGACTGCGGTCGTCGCGTCGAGGCGCCACGAGGCGGCGACACCCTGGACGCGGATGCCTCGTTCGCCGTGTCCTTGGAGGCGGGTGTCAGGGGCACTCGCGCCGTCAAAGGTCATCAAGCGGAGGATGAAGTTGTGGACGTCCTGGAACAGGACGGAGGGCTGGGGCGACCTCAGCAAGCTGTTCCAGTGCTGCAAGGAGGACATGATAAAGCACCGCACAGCAACCCTTGCAATAATGAAAAGAAGCGGCGGCAGCAGGCTGGGGCCAAGACCGTCGCCAAGCAGGAGAACACAACGCGGGAGTGGAGGCCCCACCGGCGGCTCAGCAGGAGTGCATGGGTCTGATGAGTGTGCGGGCCAAGAGGCTCCTGGCCAGGAAGCTCTGGGAGGCCAGGAAGAGTGCAGGGTGATACACTGGTACCTTGGCGAGTCCTTCAAGGAGGTTGGCACGCAGACGGATCTAGGCCACCTCCAGAAGGAGGATGTGCACGACGAGGCAGCCCATGGCATGGCGATGGAGCCCATGGGGACCAGGGCGGCCGCGTGGAAGCTGAAGGACGAGCGTGACCACTTCGAGAGCGCCTTCCACAAGAAGACCTTCGAGGTAGAGGCTGAGAAGGACGGCAAGCAGGCCTTGGGCGACTCTGAGGCTCCACCGTTCTCAGGCCTCGGAGACGACACGGGCCGTAACCTCGCGGAGGTTGAGCTGGAAATCAGCAAAGGTTCCGAGGCAGGCAAAGCTGATCGAGATGGTGTGCGCCCTGCCTGCTTCTACATAGGCGAAGAGCTCAGCGCCACCACCAAGAAGAAGAAACAGAAGAAGAAGAGAAAGGTCCTGGAGTTGAAGTCCGATTCCGAGGGCCCCCAGGAGTCTGAGAGCCGCAACCTCTCCACAGCAGCAAAGGAGGTGTGCGGGCTTCTCGAGCGCGGCGAGCTCCAGGAGAGCGAGCTGGAGAAGGCAGCCAACTCGCTCGGCGTCCCCGCGAAAGACTTCCTCGGCTCGCTGAGGATGCAGTGCAAGGAGAGCCGCCTTGCGATGGCCGCGGAGGCGGGTTGCGACGACGGCAGGTCTTTGCAGGACCTTGCGGCGCTGGAGGCTCAGGCACTGCTCAGCTCTGAGGTCTTCGCGGGGCTCGAGGCAAGCTTCGACATCGAGGACTTAAATATGTGGCCGAAGGAGACGGCCGCCTCATAGCCAGGTTGGCTTTCTCGGCATCTTCGAGGTGCTGGAAGCCAGCTTCTAGTTGGAGGAGCTCGTCTTCGGGCCCGACGTCGCGCTGGGCGTGGAGGGCGGGGTATAATTTCGGGAGTGGTAGAGGCTTGGCGGGGCTATCTCCCTCGGGTCGTCCACCTAGGCCTCTTTGGAGGGGGGGCTCTGTGGGCTTCAGTCTGCGGCTGGGCCTCGTTTGTCTGGCGTTGTTCGGAGGGCCTCTTTGGCCTCGGCTGGCGCTGGATGGACGGTTGAGTGATAACCCCGCCTGGGAGTCGGCGTTGCAGCCGTCAGCACGGCGAGAGCCCTCGCCTGCGGAGCGAGCGAGATGACCCGTTCAACGTAGTCAGCAGTCAGCAGTCAGCAGCCTCCTCCTCCTCCTCCTCCTCCTCCTCCTCCTCCTCCTCCTCCTCCTCCTCATCGTCATCATCAGCAGCAGCATCAGCAGCAACAGTAGCCGTATCATCAGCATCAGCGTCATCATCATCATCATCAGCAGCAGCAGCCTCATCAGTATCACCATCATCAGCGGCATAAGCATCACCATCAGCATCATCAGCAGCATCTACATCCTCATCGTCATCATCAGCATCAGCATTGCCATCATCGTCATCATCATTATCAGCAGCATCATCATCAGAATCATCATCACTATCAGCATCATCGCCATCATCGACATCATCATCATCATCATCATCATCATCATCATCATCGTCATCGTCAGCATCATCATCATCATCATCATCATCATCATCATCATCATCATCATCATCATCATCGTCGTCGTCATCGGCATCATCATCATCATCAGCATCATCATCATCACCAGCATCATCATCATTATCAGCATCAGCATCATCATCGTCATCGTCGTCATCACCGTCATCGTCATCATCCGCGCCACCACCATCACCATCATGATAATGTTCCCCGTGCTACTTCTCCTCATCCCCATCATCGTCATCATCATCAGCATCATCATCATCAGCAGCAGCACCATCAGCATCATCAGAATCGCAATCATCACCACCATCATCATCACCATCATCATGTTCACCATTGGCGAACCTGCAACAACCACCAGCAGTCTTACTATATCACTACCGCAATGCCACGCATCAACACCTAATCATCGCCAACCTCATCATCATCAGCATCATCACCATCATCGGCATTACCATCATCAGCAGCATGCCCACCATCATCATCATCATCATCATCATCATCATCATCATCGTCATCACCATCATCATTATCGTCGTCATTCTCATCCCCATCATCATCGTCATCCTCATCATCATCATCATCATCATCATCATCAGCATCATCATCATCATCATCATAATCATCATCTACTCATCGTATAATCATCATCATCATCATCATCAGCATCATCATCATCATCGTCCTTTCCTGCTCCTAAAAAATAGCTCCTCCCTGTCGCACGGCGAGGCCAATCGAAAGGGCGGACCGGGCGGTTCGCCTGAGACTTCCTCACCGTGTATGACTCTGACGCTTCAAAGCTGACAACAATTTCACAGATGGAGGTCACATGGTTTGAGAAATGGGGCTCTCGCCTTGGCGCCGCGCACATTCGTCTGTAAAAACTGCAAGAACTTCACAGATTGAGGGCGGCTCGTTTTCAAAATGTGACTCTCGCATTAGCGCCGCGCACACTCGTTTCAAAAGTTTACAAGAGTTTCGCTGGTTGTGGGCTGGTGGCTAAAATATGGCTCTCGCCTTAGCGCCTCGCGCACATTCGTCAAAAGAGTATGCAAGAGTTTGACGGATTGAAGGCGGGCCGTTTTCAAAATGCGGCTCTCGCCTTGGCGCCGCGCACATTCGTCCTAGAAGTTTGCAAGAGCTCAAGAGCTTCACGAATTGAGGGCGGATCGTTTTCAAAATGTGACTCTAGCCTTAGCGCCTCATCCAAAAAGTGTGCAAGAGTTTGACGGGTTGAGGGCGGCTCATTTTCAAACTGCGGCTCTCGCCGTCGCGCCGCGCACATCCGTTCTAAAAGTTCGCAAAAGGTTTCATGGATTCTCATGGCGGGCGCACCAGAAACGGGACGTTGGACCGCACCATGATTGCGAGGGCGCAACAGTTACGTTGATTCGCGGTTTTGAAGTCCTTGGAGCGGTGCCCTGGCACGATTCACGATCGCCAAGGCCTCACACTCAGGATAACTCGTGGCGTCGAAATTCTGAGAATGGTGTTTGGGCACGCCTCAGGATTTTGACACGGTTGCCCCCAAGCGGGGCAATCCCCCCAAGGGACATGAAGACTTGTGGGGGCCTGTGAAGAGGGAGCTTGGAGAGAGGGTGTCTTCCGAAATCGCTGATGAGTCTTAGGTTTACTCTGGTCCTCCTCCTCATCCTGGTCATCATCATCAGCATCATCATCATCAACATCATCATCATCATCATCAGCATCAGCATCATCCTCATCCTCATCCTCCTTATCAGCATCATCATAATAGTCAGCGTCATCATCAGCATCATCAGCGGCAGCATCATCATCAGCATCAGCATCGTCATGGTCACCGTTATGATCGTCATCATCAGAAGCAGCATGATCGTTAGCATCATCATCAGCATCATCATCATCATCATCATCATCGTCAACAGCATCATCATCATAATCAGCATCATCGTCGTCACTATCATACTCATCATCATCAACAGCATAGCATCAGCATCAGCATCAGCATCAGCATCATCAGCAACATCATCAGCATCATCATCATCAGAATCGTCATCAGCATCGTCATCATCATCATCATCATCATCAGCATCAGCAGCAGCATCATCAGCATCATCCCCTATCCTCGGAGCCCTTGGCCCATCTCGGCCCTGGGAATCCCCGGGATTCCGCCTCCTGGACGCAGGGGAGGGCAAGGAGGAGACGGGAGGGAGGAGTGACAGGGACCACTGAGGGCAGCGGCCTGAATAGACCGGCCGCACTCGCAGGACTCAGGACGTCCTGTGGCTGCACCCTCTGCCCGCCCGCAGGTGGCCAGAGCGTGCGGCCGGCGGAGGGCCTCCCCCTCCTGCCCCACTCCTCCCTCCAACCCTCCCCTCTCAGACCCCTCCTCCGACTACGACAACGATGACAACCGAGATATACGTTCAGGAACGTTTGCTCAGGGTGTCGCGGCGGCGGCCCCAGCGACGCGCTGTGTCTTGCAAGCGCACAGCGTGTCGCTCCGCTCCGCCGGGCGGGAGGCTGGGAAAGGCTGAGGAGGTGGGTGCCTTGAGGCTCTGAGGTGGATAGCGTGTCGCGCCGAAGCGCGATGGGCCAGAACTGGCGGACGCGACACGCGAAGCCAAAGTTCCTGACCGCAACCTCCCAAAAAAACAGAAAATCATGCGAATACCTTCGAATGTCGTTTAAAATTGCCGAAGATCGACGACGACGACGACAACGAAGACGACGACGACGACGACGACGCCGACGACGACGACGACGACGACGACGACGACGAGGG